GAAAGAGAGGGCGGCGGTTAGCGCGCGGGTGGTCGAGAGGGTTAAAATAGCGGTTACCGGCGAGCTTCCCCCGAGAAAGGCACACCGAATAAATACCGGCGGCCGGACGGAACCGTCCGATTGGTGGGCTTGAGCGATCGGAAAAGCCTGGCCGGCTTAAAGTGCCCTTACCCTACTCTCCTCCCGACCGATGCTGATTCTGCATTCCTCTCACTAAGTTCTATTCTTCTTGACCCCTGAAACTATTTCCGGTTAGCCGGGACGGAGGACTTTTGTCGATAAGAAAAAGAGAGGGAAAGAAAGCAAAAGGGAATAAAAAAGGAAGAGTGGCAGAGAAGGGCCTCGACAGGGGTAAGTTTATTGTCGCTCCTTACAATACCATTATCTAACGTTCAGAGAAAAGGAAATCGAATCTTATTGTATATAAATGTGTATTTTCGCCTCAAATTTAGAGAGACATTTCGCGTGCAAATATTCAAGATTAAAAAAAGTCATATTATCAGTATGTCATACACATAGAGGTGTTGTTGCGTTATCATTTATCGTTGCCATCAAAAAAATATCGCGCATATTCATCGTCGTAAGGGAAGCAAAATAGTAAATGACGATAGATCGCGCTCGTCTGAAGAAACTTATCACTAATTATCTCGTAAATTTTCAGAGAATCGCTGGGTGATATTCGAGGTAACGAATGGCGGCCTCGATATCCCTCGCTGCTCTGTACACCAGCAGGAAACCTTTCTATTTATCCCTCTAGGCGCTTAATTTTACATTTGACTACGAATGGAAAGACATTACAAAGTGCGACGCTTTATTGTCCGGGGGTTAATTGAGAGGGACGCTTTAAGTTTTGCCCAATTACATTAACTCCGAGTTAGTGAAAAAATATGCGAAGCGCCCGCCGCGCGCGTGCGGCTGTACTCTATGCTCGGATTAATTAAAATATACTTAAATGGCGTACCGTTAATTTTCAACGGCTAATTTAATGCTCGCTCAGCCTCAGATTTAATCCAACGGCAACGCACTCGCCGGGAATACGCGAATAAATTGTTTCCAAGCTCATGCCGCCATGTTTCATTGTTTGAAAGAGATCCGACAATAATAGAACTACGATATATAAGCGACAAAGAGACGACAGAAGCAATAATAACAATAAATTACATATTCATTTTAATATTTCCCTGCTACGTAAATACATATAATTGTAATTGTACAAAGAGAGAAAGATATAATTTATCAAAATTTTTCGTTACCTCTTATCCGTAATATATATGTAATTTTACATACACATACAAAAGCGCCAACAAAGGGAAGGGAAAGCAAAAAGTGTAGCTAAACAGGATGCGTACCATCTAGCCGGACAATATAACGAATCGAACCTAACGGCTCTGATCTGGCGTCTGGTTGCTCGCGTCCTAAAACAAGCGATAACCCGTGATGTACGAGTTTTTGCATCCTCCCCCCGCGCGCGTTTTTCACGCGTGCGATATCTCGTTCGCCGCTCCCGTATCTTCCCGCGTTTCTTCGTTCCACATTTCGG